GGGCCTAAGGTTTCTCATTTACTTTATGCCGACGATGTCATCATTTTTTCTGAAGATAAGATTAAATCGGTTAAGGAAGTCAAAGGAATTCTTATGGAGTTATGTGGATGGACGGGTCAAAAGGTGAACCTTCAAAAATCTGGTATTCTTTTTGGAAAATTAGTGAAGAGAAGGAGGAGGAAAAAATTTTGTAGAATCATGGAATTCAGGAAAGTTCAGGAATTTTCTTATTTGGGGATCAAGGTGGCTTTAAGGAGGTTGATGAGAGCAGATTTCCAATTTATAAAAGATAAAGCTTTGAGTATGTTGAGTGTTTGGGGTGGCAAGTTGATATCCTTAGCTGGAAGAGTAACGTTGGTAAAATCTGTTTTACTTTCATTCTCTACCTTTCACTCTACTCTTTCCTTGGTTCCTAAGCAATTCTTGAATGAGATTGATAGGTTGTGTAGGAACTTCATTTGGAACAAAAGTGATGGAAGTGTAGGTCATCATTATGTTAATTGGGAATTCATGTGTAAACCCATGCGGTCTTGGTATCAATTCCTGCTCAAAAAAGTTGGGCCATTAAGGGCCAAATTAGCTTGGAGGTATTGCCAAGAAGAAGAGTCTCTTATGCATAAGATGCTCTTTCCAAAATATGGCCAAATCTCAGGTGAAGATTCAGCTGCTAGGGGAGGATCAGTCTTATGGAAATTAATTTTTAGTGGAGGTGAGTCTCTCAGGCCAATCGTCAGGTGGATAGTTGGTAATAGCAGATCAATTCAAGCTTTTAAAGACACATGGTTGCTGGACAAAAGTATTGAAAAGTGGCCTACTTTTGTCAATCCAATGGAAGGATGCATTCATTCAGTGGACAAGTTTATTAGCAATAATGGAGAGTGGAATATCAGTGAGCTTCAAAAGTTCTTTGGGGAAGAGTTAGTTAAATTGATTACTTCAATCCAAATTTAGTCAGTCAGAGAAGAAGATTATATGGAACTAATTCATAATTTCTCTAGGAAGATGATTGCAGCTCTAGCATGTGAAGCTTTGGAACCCGATAAAATAGATCATGTAGTTTGGAGATGGGTTGGTAAGGCAAAACTTAATCCTAGAGTGGATTTTTTCTGGTGGAGGGTGCTCAACAAAGCTATTCCAACAAATCAATTTTTGTGATACAAGTGGATACAAGGATATGATAAATGTCCTAGAGGTTGTGAGGAGGTGGAAGACTTTGATCATATAGTCTCTGGATGCAATAAACTGATTGAGGTGGTGGAGATCTTAAATAGATGGGGGTTCGAGTTTCCTAGATTTTGCTCTATTGAAGATTGCTGTAGATGGCTTGATTCTCAAAGTCAGTGGATGGTGAATCTATTCTGTAACACGGTATTCCTCTCTTGTAAAGCAACAAATCTGTTTGTACATGAAAGAAAGATATCCAGTCCTATGATGATTGCTTCAAATGCTGTAAGTATTACTGCAAATTTTAAATATTCTAGCTGCTTAAATTCAGGTATCGAGGATGTTAATCAACCTTTGAGGTTGTTTAATACTTGGTGTCCTCCTCCACCTGATTGGATTAAAGTTAACATAGATGCTGCCCTTCATAACTCCTACAAGGCTGGAATTGGAGGTGTTTTTAGAGATTACCAAGGGAGGTTATTATTGGCTTTCGTCAATGCTTATATACATTGGGATTCTATCGCTTTGGAACTTCAGGCTATTCTTTCAATTAAGCATGTGATAAAATACTAGATGTTGGATTACAAAGGCTTAATCATTGAAGGAGATAACAAGAATGTGATCAAGTACATCAAGGAAATGGTGGAGAAAGGCAGAAATGAGTTGACAGACCTCTCTTTCATTAAATTTTTTTCATTTTGTTGTCTTTAATTGTGTTGATAGGGAGAGTAATAAGTTAGCGGATCTTTGTGCTAACTATGCCTGTTTTAATTCTTTTCTTTGGGATGAAGTAGATATGGATAAGATCCCTCCTTCCTTTATCCACTTGTTAGAGAAGGAGTCGAATGCTATTGGGATGTAATTCTGATTTTTAATTTTTGTTAATAAGCTCTATTGCTTTTTTGGTCAAAAAAAAAAAAAAAAAAAAAAAAAAAAAAAAAAAAAAACTAGTAAAATCATACTATGTTTCAACTACACACTCCAATCTTCTTTCTTTAGAGTTGTCTTTATATGTGAGTGTTTAATGACATATGGATCAATTGGCTTGAGCATCTCATCAAAAGAATGTGTGAAATCTTTGGTTAAATACTTCTTATTATTTAACATTTATTTGAAAATAAATAAATCATAGATCATTTTTTCTTAAAATCTAAAGGCATGGGTCAACATTTTCAATGTCCTTCACATCATCATCTTTAGCATCAATTCTAATGCGAGAATTAGCAGTAAGGTCCTCCCTACTCTTCTCCTTACCAGTCATCCATCTACCATAATAAATATTTTTACTCTCCTTCTCCTCCCTATATATGAATTCCTAGATATAATTACTCAGAGCAACCAATTTTAGCTCCAATCTTGGGTGATTATTCTCTAATTTGAGTTGATTATGCTTTAGCTCCTTAACAATTTCAAAGCTCCTACAATTTATTGAAGTGAGGCAAGGATTAAATAGAGCAAGGCATGAGCTTATCTATGCATTTGTTTTTCATGCACCTCATTTTCTCACTTTTTTCTTCATATGATCACCACTCTTCAATATAATATGCAATGGTCACTTTATTCTTCATAACCATAACAGAGAGGTTGACATGGAATATGTATAATAGACTATATAAATTATTATTGATTCAATACACTAGTTTAGCCTAATAATAGCCTACAAAAACAATTTAATGTAACATTGATTATCAATTTCCAATAATAATTAGCCTGAATTAATTTTTAAATATAATAATATGCATATACCTTACATCTTTAGCTGATAGTTATAACAAAATATCTTTGCTTATCAGCACTTTATTGCTTTTATAATTTAACATATTGGGGACTTTCTTTCACACGTCTTCTCTAATTTTATGATGGCTTTATACACATGATGTTGTAATGAAATAACATATCTAGTGATAATGTATTAGGATGGACCTTTCTTTCCGCTCTTTTTCTTCTTTTATGTTTTCATCAATATGGATTATATCCATATTCATATTTTCCAAGATTTTCTTTCATGAAAGCCTTTGTGATGGGCAGCTTCTTCATCTTCAACTAATTCTAGAGTTTGAGTAAAAACAATACTATACTTCTCATGGTTAAGCATAACATGATAAATAATAAATTATAGATTAAATTTTCATATTTATTTTCTCTTAATGCATTCCCAAAGCTTATATTTCTAAGTTATTATAAATTTCTATGCAGTTATTAATTTTTTTATTGCTTTCAAGAATCTTCTTAAAATTCTCCTAACAAAATGTACCAATCATCTTCAAGAAAATTTCAATAGTTTCAAATTTTGTGTTCTTATCTCTAATGTTAAATATAATGGAGGATTTATAATTTTCTTTACTATCAACCATCCTCATTATAAAGGAGTATCTAATATTAGAGCCTTGCATTGGTTATCCATACCCACACCCACCCATATACCCACCCATTCCCAATGGGCATGGGTGGGTATGGGTATGCCCATGACTTCATGGGTAGGTACTCAACATCAGGGAACAAACTGATTTACATTACTAATCACCATAGGCATGCAGTATATTACAGTATTTCTTACTACATAGTGCGCAGCACTGAACCACGCCCTACCCACAATTAATTTTGATATGTGGCTTCAAAGTTTGCAGTCAGAGAAAAGGGCAACAAACCTCAATGTCATTAATCTGTGGTAGACTGCATTCAAGAAGCGTGAAAAGTGGGTGGGTGTGGGTGAGTATGACATCCCGAAAGTCACCATAGGTGGGCGTGGGTGGGAAAATCCCGCAAGCACTAAGCGTGGGTACCCAACCAAGATCCCATGTAGGGCTCTGGTATCTATCATTTTCTTTATTATCAACCATTCCCAAGAGAAGTTGATGAGTTAGGGTCCTAAAGAATTGCATGTAAAGAGCATTAAAAAGCTGGTTGAAGGGGGATATGTAGATCCTCTGGAAAGAAACAAAATTTTAGAATTGTCCGATGACTTTCTCCATCACCTCCAATTTTATGACGAGCAATGAAATGCCTAAGAATAATTAGTTCGGACATCTGTATACATAACAGAGCAATATAAATGAATAAATTCATTATAAGATAATGAGAAAAAAGTAAAGTTAGAATCTCATTCGAACAAGATTTTAACTTCTAATAGTGTTCGAACCTTGTTTGAGCTTTTGCTCAAGGAAAATGGTCAAAGAAAAAAAAAAGGGAAGAATATTTAAACAAAGTTCGTGCAAGATTGAAATAAGATTGAAACCTCATATTATTCAAATCTCTTTAAAGCCAATTTGAATTTAATTTTTCTTATAACGGTCGAACCCTATGTTCAAAATAGATGTATGAATTAGTTTGAATAAGGTTCAAACATTATTTCTTTTTAAATATATAATTTTGCTTCCATCTCCTTCATATATTTTAACCTATGGCTATCGACAATAAATGCATTCTAATTTAAATAACGAAAAATATTTCAATATTAACCTTGAGCGAAAGGTTAATAAAAATATCACAATAAAGAAGAGTTAGAAGGGATCATGGTGAAGAATATATCGCCACTTTTATTTGAATGTATTCTTTAGAAAATTTGAATTATATTTTAACAGCAAGAATATTTTCTTCAAATTTAAATTATATTTAGAAGAACACAAATATTTATACATATAAGTTTAGGAAGATTTACTTACGTATCATAATTTTTTTTTAATTTATATAAGTAATACTTAAAATTTGACATTTATTTGAATAATATTTTAATTTTTTAATCACATAAAAAATAATAATATATATAAATAAATATTGAAGTTTAAAATTTTTTTATGGTATGTCTGTAAATTTCCTAGAACGCAGATAAGAGCTATATAAATTTAAAATTTACAACCAAAATACCCAAAAACTTTTACGCGATCTCTTAAAAGGCTTTGAACATCTAAAGAAGGACCAAGGGTTTTCTCCTGTTCGATTCTAGCGCTTTTTCGTGCAGCCATGTCGTCCAAGCAAGGTGAGGTTTTCGATCGATCTTCAAATCCTGACAAATTATCATATCAAAGTACCTCTTCTTCTAGGATTTCTTTCTTTCCTTCAGGTGGGAAGGCGAAACCACTCAAGCAACCCAAAGCTGATAAGAAGGAATACGACGAGGTAAAGATAGTAGGTTAACTGAGTTATTCTGAAATCTTTTCTTTTTCTTTGTTTTGATATTGTCTCTTGTCATGTAAAACATTGATTATTTTGGAAGACCCCTAAAATTTGCTCATCTTTTCCGCGTGCCTGTATGAGTTGTCCATTATTCTTTGTTTGGAAGCATTTTAATCGAAAGGAGGATATAAACATGTTAAAAAAGTCCAGTTGAAAGGTGAGATAGATCAGGAGTTGGCGTAGATCATAAAAAGGAAGCTAATTATGACTTTGAAAGGATATCATATATGCAAATGCCACTAGAACTGGAGCATATTTGGTTTTATTGGTTATGATCCTCATAAATGAGGTTTTAAGGTGATTGATACCGATTTGGATTTTAAGAGCTTTTAGATGACCAATATCACCAGCATAGTGTTTACTGGCTTGTGTTGAACATATCTCCTATGCTTATGCTTTTAGTGGTTAATTTTCTTTGTCTACTCCATACTAGGTTAGTTAATTTAGAGCCACCTCTTTTGTAATTACTATTTTACACTGAAATTCTGTGTTGGATTAAATTTAAGCTTCATAATTTCTGCCAAGTTGGTACGGTTCCTTGTGATCTCTTGTGCATGCACAAGAAGACAATTGGTAATCTGGATAGCTATGCTTTTTCTTGCGATTATAGATTAGGGTGCAAAAAGCTTATGAAATTTGCAGGAATTATCTAGGACTAGGAGATAAGGTTTCTATTGAGTAATTGAGGGATGATCTAGAGAGGAATAGAGATGATAAGTTTCTATTGAAAATTGTGCCCATGAGGCTTGGTCAGTCCTTAGATGCTGCATTGAGGAGAGAGAGACTTGGATAAGCCTCTTGATTGAGAATTGGAGTGAGAAAGAGAAATATTGAGAAGAAAAAAAATTCAATTTCTTCATGCTTAATTGTTACATCCTAAGGCCTCATATTTGTTAAAAAATAGGACTCATCCATATTTATCCACAATTCTTACTAAATGCACTAATTTAATTTTTTTTTAACAATTGCATAAATCAAGGAAATATTCTCTTGGATCTCTCCTTGAAGGGTGATTAGCCATGTAGAAATAGTTGAGGAAAATTATGGAGAAAATATTGTATAGTTTTCTTGATTGGTTCTTCATAAATCTCTTTCCTATTCTAATTTTGCTGTCCGCTCCTACCTTTCAAGTTGTAATTTCAGAATTTGTCTCATCAGTTTTAAGCTATAAATTTATCCTGCCTAGATCAAACTTACTATTTTTTTAAGTACTCTTGAATCACTTGTCTCCCTTTTATGCCATTTTCTTTGACAAATACAATCAATCATAGAACAATGATAACAAAAAAAGTTCAACACTTGGCCAATAGTGTTGATCTTAATTACATAGAACTATAACATATTTTTATCCATGCTAAATAGCTTGTCCATGTGGCCATCTCATCTTATGATCCTTTTTGCTGACAAAACTCATTTGAATGATTGCTTTGACCAACTCCTACATGATGCCCAACCTTTAATGTGGATGTCATATTTTAGATGATCATAGGTTGATCAATTTTGAAAGTTGAAGTTGATGTACTTCTTAAATATTAAATTGTACCTGCATATAATAATTAGTGCAAATATATTTTCTATTTTTCTTTGAAGTATTTTCAAAAAAACAAGTTATCCCATTAAAATCCATTAAACATGTCTCATCATATTTGACCTCCTAGGTATGTGGTCATCTCCTTTGGTACTAATTTTATGGCCCACCCTGGTGTTTACTGTATGGTCCTTTTTGTGTCATATTCATGTTCATGTGAACTACTGCATGAAGTATAGATTCCTTTGTGGACATATCAAGAGGTAGATTAACAAGAAGTGCTTATTAATTTTCATCATCACTCTAGATTGAATCTCATTTCATTCATGTTGTATTGATGATATCAACTTGACAAAAAGCTTTTCAAAAGCATCCATCATGCCATTCGGTTGGAGTCAATCCATGTTTATTGACAATTCCTACTAAATACACTAATTTAAGAATTCTTATCCTTGGTTCCTATGTCCATTCAAATCACAGATAATCATATCTTAAATTAAGGGAATATTCTTTTGGATGTCTTATTAAAAGTTAGATGGCCATATACATAGAGGTGGAAAAAATTAGGAAGAGAGTATTTGGTAGTTTCCTTCATCCGCCCCATATAAATATAGTATTTTCTAATTTGAAAACCCACACCTAATTTTGAAATTGAGAGTTTGTATTCACCTGTCTTTTTTGCTTTCAATTTTATCTTTTCAAGGTTAAATTTGTAATTTTTTTAACCGGATGCACATCATGCGTCCTACTTTTCAAAAGAAATGTTGAATAAAAGTCTTATTATCTTATATTGATAATAAATGGTAATAGTTTGAGATATGATTTTAGGCCTAGGTTTCATTATGTTTGATTTGAAACTCTTTTGAAACGTTACTGTTTTACCAGTTTCAGAAGTTTTGCCTTTAATTTCTGCTCATGTTTTTGTATATATTGTATAAAGGTTTAATGGAAATTAATATAAAAAAATTATATAAATTTTTAGCAATGATTGAAGTTAAAAATATAATAAAATTGAGTACTTTTTGAAGAATATTATATTTAAATAAAAAAAAAAAAAACCAAAATGGCTTCCTCAAGCACGCATTTGCATGGAACACCTGACTTGCCTTTAGAAACTCTCTAGGGCCTGAGCGTACGTGCTCCTTTTCTTTGGGCTGATTTGTTTTCAGTAGATACACTAATACGATGCATTTTCTCTGCATTGGTATAAATACCATTCTTTATCCAAACCAGCTGGTTTATATTGAAACCACCTCAAATTTTATCCGGATATTAGATTAGCTATGTCAAAAACCTATTTAATATCTGAAGGTTTTTTCTCTAGGTGATTTTTTCATCTTAAAAAGATTTGATGTGGCCCATTAAATAATACACTATTTACTTGAGTTATATGAATTGCAGTTCCTTTAAGTTTTATTGTATTGTCGACAATTATTGGTAAAAAAAGGGTGAAATAAAAAAGGCTGAGCCAAACAAAAAAACCAAATCGAATTAGAATAACTTATAATTCTGTTCGATTTGGTCTAGATTTAAGATTTGGGTTAAACTGCGTATGTATTGTTTGATTCAGGCTTTTATTTTTGGCTAACCAAAAAAAAAAAAAAAAAGCAAACTAAAATTGTTTAGCAAATAAGTAATAGGTTTAGGGTACTCGCTAGTTTGTAAGTCATCCTTCCAATCTATTCATAAAGACGTTTTAACCAACCATTACTATTCATCTTTTCCTATTTATGTTTTGGTATTCAATCTATTGTCAGAATGCTTAGTAAATAGAAAATAATTATATTTCATTTGTTTTGTAGTATTTATGTTTTGTTAAAATCAGAAATCAATTATGGATGATTCAAACTCATTGGTTGGGTTTGGTTTCGTTTGTAGTTTTAAAATTCAGTTTGGTTCTATTTTAGTGTTAGAATTTTGTCGGTGCTATTCAGTTCTAAATTAAATTGTACTCGATTCTAATTAGAAGCATTTTGATGCAGAATGGCCCTAAGTTGAGTTTCTTAGTACAACTAATTTAATATGTAATATGATTTCATAAAAATTTTTTTTTGAGAATGAGAATTTATTAATCACAACTTATCAATTAAATAAACAGCTTATTGTTGCAAACAATAAATACTACAGTCTAAAATGAAATAATAATAGAACTATTTAATAGTTTGATACTTTTAGCAAGGAGTATCCATATAAAATTAATGAGCAAATTAAATTTGATTTCCACAAATTCGACTTTAAATGCATCACTTTTTTATCAAAATCTAGAGCTCTAAATAAGTCAATAATAAGGAGATGACTTATGATGCACCATGGTTTAAAATTGCGCAATATGAGGCTGGCTTTTGCGCAATATGAGGCTCGCTTTTGCGCAATTCCAATAAAAAACGCCTCGATGCTTACGCCTCGAGTTTTTTTTTATGAGGCCCGCCTCGCCTCACTAGTATGAGGCTTACGCCTCACGCTATATGTATTAAAACTTACATAAATCTTGAAGTAAATGCCTGACATTGGACTCTATAGGAGAGGAGGAAGGGGAGAGAGCAGTTCATCATAATGATGATTCAAATAAAGAACCACTTAGTGATGACAGTGTTGATGACTTATGAGTTCTTATGTGATGTCATTGTATTTGTTTTTGAAAATTGGAATTATATGTTAATGAAAAGAATACTGGGATTTAGGAAAGATAGAATTTTGAGTTGAACTATATTTCATGTTGTCTTATTATTGGGATATTTTGATTTCACTTCATATCATATGCTTTTTTATGTTTTATATTATTCACTCATTAGTATATAAAAAATTTATTATTTTATGTTTACGCAATCTTTTTTTTATTTTGAGGCTTACGCCTCAAAACGCCTTGAAGCTTATGCCTCGCCTCACGAATGAAAAACGCCTCAATACCCGAATACGCAATTTTAAACATTGTGATGCACTTTCACTTCTTCTCAAATAGGTATGCAGTGCCTGACATGTATCAGACTAGACACGCCTCCTACATGTGTCACATACACTGAAGGCGTGTTGGATATGCCAAAGGCGTGTCTGATTAAAAAATATTAAAAATAAATTCGACGCGTGTGTCCAATATGGATATCTTAAATATTTTATTGAAACTTTTTTAAAATATAATTTCTCATATTTCAATTTTTTTAAAAAATAAAAATTAAATTTCTTATTTCCTCTCCACAAATCTAGATCAATCACTCCCACTCAATATCTCATTCTTCGAACAATCTCATTTTCATTTCTTTCTTGCGATTTGTGGCTAGGGTTTCACAGCAATAATTGATATCATCTCAATAGTGAAGTTCAATGCCATCACAACTTCAATGTTTCATAACCATCTCAACATCAATGTCATGAGATCAAAGTCTACACACTGTCTTGACATTGATGTTTGATGCTAGAA